GTTCCTTTAGATATATCTCTCTAAATAAATAATTGGTTAATTCACAATGTGGTTAATCAACAATAATAATATTAAATATAATTGACTGGACTTATAGTTCATTCAATAGCACTCATTACTTTTAGTAGCTCTCGACCTATGGGTTGGACTACTCGTTCTTAGGCTCTGGCCTAATTAACAAATGTAACTTGAACCTTGAGTATTCTTGGTATTAAGTAAATAATATTAAATTGACAATGCTATGTTATGATATAGCAATTATCAACATTATATGGCTTGGCCAATTCCGGGGTGTGGAAGGTATCCCCTATCACACAAATCTTCATCTCTATCGGACTGTCTTCACAGGTGATCTCTAATGTCACATTATAGGGCCGAAGGGTTATGTCCCATCAAAGTAAGTTCTGGTGTCTGGGTGATCTCGCTTCTTGGTCTGATCTCTTGTGGAGCCGAAGGGAAACCCCCATTGAGTAAGCTCGTAACAGGGTGACGCTGGGAAACAGTTTCGTACTGTTAGTGGGTGATCTCTATGTCGCCATATAGGACTGAAAGGGTCATCGCCCATGAGTAAGCTCTCGTGTCGGAGTGATCCTGGGATTTCAGTTCCGATCTGTTTGCCTCTGGCAAACACTAATTTATACTGGAAGCATCGTGGGGCTGGTGGAGCCACTGTAATGTTGAAGTAAATGTACTTATGTTTGGTTTGGAACTGAGAATACTCATTCCCTTATTACCATCAGAGTGCATTAATAAATAGTAATACCCTTCCCTACCTTTTTGGAGGAAGAGTTATAGATAGTTGGAAAGTCTTCCACTGGTCCGGGCGTGTGAGGGGCCCGACCGCTCCCCCATTTTTTTTATTATTACAGTTATACTGTGATTTACTATTAAATTAACATAACTTCCTAGTTACATGAATTATGAGTATAATTCATTAATTATTCTTAATCCTTAAAGACTTATCAATCATCTTCATTATTTAACTCCTATCATATACCAATTAAAGAACCTTTTGGTTATTACACACACAACGGGTCCTACATTACTAGACGATCACACATTTATTTATCTGGCCAATGATCAAGTGTTCTACTATAAGATCTGTTCAATATTATGTGTTTATTGTAAGGGTTTATATGATTCATAGGATGTTTGGGGTGTATAAGGCAATATAGGTATGGGGTTATATTGAGGGTGTTATGCCATTCTTTAGGGTAAGTTTTCATTAGATTTTCATTAGGTTAAGCCTTCGTAGGCTTTTTCTTAGGCTTTGTAGGTTTTCCATGTGTAGCTTAGTTTAGAGGGTAGTTAGATTATTTAGGGTGCTCATACAAAGGGGGGGACCATCACAAAGTAAACAATTGTTTTGTGATAATTTGTGACTTGCAATAATAATACCAACTAATCGTCATTCAAACAATTTAAGTACTTTCACTCTATATCCTTTATGGTTTTTTTTTGTCATAGTTTGGTACATTTAATCGAAGTAAGTGTCCTTGCTATTTGGTACAGGCGACGTAGTAGTCTTAGGCCGTCGATATTACTTTATGTCCCTTAATTTGCACTCTATCTCCAAATATATATACTCTATCTGACCAATAGAGTAGGCATCCCGCCACTCGCGAAATAGCGAGGACAGGAAGCCTGAACAAGTGCACCTTGAACTATAAAAAAAAAGATACGAGCGACGGGACAACCGAATGTATAGTATTATATTATCTATGCTCGAATTAAAAGCGCGGTGCAGGTAAGTGACTTTAAGGGGTTGGTATTATTATATATTGCATATGTTGAATCGTGATAGTCACAAAGTTACAAAAAAAGCGACTGTGAAATGGTCTATGCGCGGTTCGCTAAATACTTATTTGACAGAATTGCACACATTTGCCCTGTTACAATAAAAAAAAAAAAAACTAGATATTACACATATTTTTAATATATGTTCCTTAGTATACTGTATGTACTTGTATCATTTATATATATTTGGTGCAATGTATAGTCTGAAGAGAAACCTTTAGACTCTACATTGCACCAAACATACCGTCAAAACTTACATAATAATTTTAATATAATTTATTAATAAAATATACAAATTTTCCCTTTTTTTTTGCAATCAAGGAAAAATATGTATGTAATACATTGTACACATTCGGTATATAGTTGTGGTGACAGAAATATATTTATATCTACTTATATCCTGTAAATAAACTTCACAATACTGAAAATAACGTTTTCGACAGCGTAAATTTGCGGTACACAACTAGTGAATGCTACATATTAAAGACTTTAGTGTTTATTTTGTTTGTCACAGACAGTTAATAAACTCTTGCTGCAGTTCTTATATTTAAGTACAATTGATACGCTCCGGATTCTCATGGATAGATAGATAAATATGTATTTTATACTAGCTTTGACAGGTAATATTTTGACATTTTGTGTTACATTATTGCGACTTTCGTAGAATTTTCCAATTTTATGAAAATAATATATAGTTATTGTTATTCATTGATAATGTAGCTTTTTGTAGATGAAATAATTATTAAAATCGGTTGAGTAGTTTTCGAATTTATCCATTACAAACAAACACACAGAAAGTCAAATAATTCCTCTATAAAATATTAGTATTAGTATAGATTATAGAAAAAGTATAGATAAAAAATTTAAACGTTCATTGATTTTATGTGAATTTTGTTGAAAATAATAAGCTAGGTTCGATAAAAATAAAATGTCTCGAATGTTAAAAATAATAAGCTCAGTTTGATGAATAATAAAATGTATGTATTATGTGAAATTTTGAAGAGAACAGCGAACTGTCATAAATTATTATATTGTTATATTTTTGTATTTAATATTTTGATTATAGAACATTAATAAAAACGACTATAGAGTTTTTACAGCAAATTTTTGTTTCATTGTTTACAAACAATTTAGTAGTCGTCTCCCGAACATAGAACACTTCCTACTACGTAATAGTATCAGCCAATATCGATAACACATAACAAGCTATGGTGTAATGAACAAGCCAAAATTAGATATATTTTATGGTATCATAAAAAAATATTGTTGCAATATGGCGGACGAATCGTTGTATTTTACTGAAGTGTCCCAAGAGGGCGTATATGTATATATGTATTTTTTGGATATATAGTTATGTAAGTTTATACCGACACTTTGGCATGACTGATATAAATATTCGTACGTAATTTAAAAACAGTTTAATAAATTTTATAAATAGGGTGTTATTAAATGCTTGGAATTTCTACGTGTAATTTGGAAGTGGGTAATCATTTCTAGATGAGGTATTAAAGTAAAATATACACTATATTTGAAAATAGACCTTTTAAAATAGAATTGTTAAAACAGCATTCAATTTGGTGCAGTAGTTTTTACAATAAACATATACACTCTTTTCAGTACATATGTACAAACAGACTAATAAAAATCCTAAAAAAAAATGTTTTGGCTTCTATTGCTCTTATTAGACTCCTCTTATCAAATTTTTTTAAATATCCTTTACTCGTATGAAAATACAAACATAGTCCAATTACAGTTTTATTATATTAGTAGATAGATACTCTTTATTGTTTCCTCAAAAAAATTACAGTTGTAAACTTATTATAGATACAAACAATTACAAGAAATAGTCAGACTGAGAAAACAATGGGTGGCTTTATCTCTATAAGCGATCTCTTCCAGCCATCTTTTGGATAGAATTTTTTGATCGAAGGCACGACGAAAATTTTTATAATTTTTAAATACCTATGGTGATAGGATTTAATATTATAAACAGAGGGCCTACCATGAAGTATTTTCCGAAATTTCGGGGACGAACGAAACAGAAATTTGATGTTAAAATTACATAATACATGCTGTTTAAAATTATTAAAAATGTTAAAATATCGTTCCTTTGGACTATTAAAATAGGATTTATGATGAACGAAATGTTAAACTGCATTTACTGGGTCGATTTTGATACGAACAAAAACACGAAATTGAGCCCGAAATTTCGGAATTTCATTTCATGGTAGACCTCCAGATACAAATGATCGATATAATTAAATTCCAACTAGATACATAAACAATTGCAATGAGGCAGGTGTTAGGTATATTACAATTCACATACACTTACTAATACTTTAATATTGTTTGGTTTTTGGCATTAGATTGTTTAGCACACACAAGATACTTTTTGTATTTACTGATTCGCGGACAAAGTAGCGGAATACAGGTAACGTGAGCAGTAAGTAATGTTTTCCATATTACCTATTACGATTACCAATCTCAGAAGTAAACTAAACTTAAAGCCAATTAGTATTATAAGTTTCTGAGATTTCTGAATACCAATCTATAGTCGAACTATTAACTGTACGAATAGATAAACCCATGTATTCTAATGTCAGAACAGACGGACATTTCCGAATCGTTTATCTTATCACCCCTTTGTCGAATTCCGACGAAACGTTCATTCATAAAAGATAATTAATTGACAAATACACAAATAAGTAGTTTTGTAATGTTATAGTAGGATTAGATATAAGTTTTTTTTGAGCTATTTAATATCTGTCTACATGTATATATACATATAATTTTCGTTTATAAAGAAAATATAAATATATATAATATAGTCCGTTAATAACTGTATTTATAAGATAATCTGTATGGAAGTTATCTTGTAAGGGAGCAATATATATATATATATATATATTGCTGCACACACACACACACACACACACACACACACATATATATATATATATATATATATATATATATATATATATATGTGTGTGTGTGTGTGTGTGTGTGTGTGTGTGTGTGTGTGTGTGTGTGTGTGTGTGTGTATATATATATGTATATTATATATTCGTATATATATATATATATATTTTGGAATTTGCGAATTGGGAAACTATCAAGCTTCCGTTATTTTTTTCGTTATGTTTCCCGTTATTAGTTGGTTATAAATAAATACATATTATATATAATATATGTATACTCACGAGTACGCATACGGTCCAACTTCTTCAACGTGCAGTTTCTCTTCTATTCCGTCCCTAACCTCCTGCCAGTTGGTATAGTTGAAGATGTAGACTTTCATTACGGGCTGCACGGTGGGTTGCCGCCATAACGAGAACGAGAGCGTGTTGTTTCGGATCACCATGTTCTGGGAACGTAGATACATTGTTATTTACTATCTGTGCTTAGTGCTACTCGGGCTAACCAGCGCCATCTGGTGTCAATAGTTTCTATGGGGGATGGGTGGAATTGTTAGTAATGCGGACTACCAGTACCATAGCTAGCAATAAATCCTGTCAGGTTGATATCCACGTGGTTCCCTCTGGAAACCATAGTGTTAAATTACAGGTGTATACATCCTTCATTTAACTGACCTGCCTTTTCATTCTCATCTATCATCCCTCATGGGGTTACCATTTTATGATCATCCATTAAAACTATAATTTCCATGACTCGTTCGGAGGGGTTGGAGTGTCTAGTGTGAGTTATGCAATCTACGTTTACCTAAATATTTTGTGTGGAAAGCTGCACCTCCTGGCGATGTGATTGATTTCGGAAACTTAGCTTACCATACAAACGCATCGATGTAAACAAACGCAACAAATCTTAGAATAAGTACAACTTATTCTAAGTACTTGTAAGGCTTACTAGATCAAGATTGTACGTGCCTTCTGAATTACGAGGTAAGTGACAATCATTTGTTAATGACTCAAACATAAATTTGATAATTTTTGAGGTTTAATCAAGTCTACCTGTGTTACAGATACATGCTGTCTGCGTGAATGGTATAAATTACACAATAAAAAATGACCATTAAAGTTTTAGAATGGTTGCATTTTTTCCGTATTCTTAGAGAATGCTAAATTATTTTACAATTACTCATTGATTGAGATGAATATTTCCTAGTTGTGTAGACAAAGATTTAATGATAACAAATTAGCTCGATTAAGTCGTAAACTATGTACCGTGTTCAATAATCGTTTCAGAGTTATTACAAGATCATCCAATGGTATGGTAATTAACAATAAATCATAGGTATATTACTACAGAAATCTAAGTACATACCTAGGTATGTATGAATGCTTAATATTGTGTAAGTTAACAACGCAATATTGATAATCCTTCTCTTCATGCTCCGAGATTTTTTTTTTATACAACTTAGAATGGCAATCAAGCTGACGGTCCACCTGATGGAAAGTGGTAACCGTCGCCTATAGACATGAGCAGTGTCATGGACATAACAGAGTATACTGTTTCGCTCATGATACTCCCCATGCGTTGCCATTCCCGAGGACTCAGGTGTTATTCCTCTGTACCCAGTAAATTCACGCTATATTTATTAAATTTTTACCTATATTGCTTAATTTTTATGTGATTTAACACGAGGAAGGCCTTCATTCGCTTGTGTTTACTTTTTTGCCTAATTTTAATAATTCTTTTTAAGTGTTGGCCCCATATTTAGCCATGATTGAAGGTGTTATTTTTATGTCAAACGAAACTAAGCACTGTATACGGGATAATGAGGTCTAATCTTTGTCAATTTTTGTAATGAGAACACGTTATATTTATTATTATATAATATAAAATGACAGCCATTTTTTTTAAATTCTATATTTTCTTACCCTAAAAATTTTCATATTCCATTAGTAATTATTACAAACGTTCAAAAATGTGCCGAATAAGTTTAACCGTTCTTAAATAATGTTCTTAAAATTATTATCGCATTTAGTTTTGATTTAAAATCGTTTAAATAAGAACGTTTTAGTACTTATTGACGCGACGCCGCGATGTGTAAATAATAATAAGTATTTTTAACTTGTTACCAAGTTACGTGATAACAATGGTCATTGTATAATCCGTTTCAATAAAACTTTTTTTTTATGATATTACTTGTCGTGTTTTTTAAAAGCTATTAATTATCAGCATACCATCTTCTGCACTAAATGCTTTCGAATCTACAATTCGTATCTAACGTTATTTTTGTTAATCTTTTAATTTTTTTTGACATGAATTTTAAATGAGAACACTGAACCGATATTTAGTCGGAGTCCAATAGGTATGTAAAGAGTACATCTTCATATCAGCTGTTAACCGTCCACTGTTGAACATAGGTCTTTCTCTTAGGGAAAGAGTACATGCCAGCGCAGTATCTAATTAGATAATTAGATAATTGTGACCACTATGAATAGTATAGCAGTATATTCTATAAACTTATGAAATGCTTATCACTGATTAATTTTAACCTTTCGCGTTGCTTACACATACATATTTGAATTTTCAGAACCTAATGCGAAGAAAAACTTGCAAGTAAAAATAATTATAATATTATAATTATTGCCGATTGCACCATAACGACAGTTCTATCGTGACCACGACATAGTGTAATCCACGTCGAAATATCGACAATAAAGAAGCAGGTATGTAGGTAATATTTACCTGCAAATTTTTCATCACGTTATAATATTAAATTAGCTGTTCGCCTTCGATTTGGTCATTATCTATTAAAAATATTTGCACATATGATGGGGAGTCCTGGTAACTTCATTGTCAAGTTTGTGATACCATCGATGATGTATAACACATACTAATAGAGTGTCATATAAACTCAATGGAAGGAGAAGAATTCATTGGCCACTTTAACCTAAATAAGTATTGGTTTTATTCAATCTGTATTAACTGAACCCAAATCAGAAATATTTAAACATCTCTGTAAACTATTGATACCCATTAATTCCTTTCTCTCCGTGATTTTTTTTTATGGGTGAAAATGGAATGGTAACCCCGCCTGTGCTGACGGGATACGCTGGCGGAGCACCAGTGAAGGGTGATAGATGAGAATGAAAACAGGCCAGTTAGCCCATCATGATGAATTCATCAGGAATTAACCATGATAGTTTCCAGGGAGAACCGCGAGGAGGCCGACCTGGTTGGGTATATTGCTAGCAATGGGATTCTCAGTCTCCATTACTAACAATCCCTTTCCTCCCTCTCTCTCCGTGATTAGGGACAGTAGATGAAACTTTATTTAAGAAATCAGTTCCGGGTACGATAGGGTTGATATACCTGAAGAGGTAAAAGGCCTTATATTAAAAAAATACTAATAAAAAAGTCCCGATAGTGTATTTAAAATATGCATAGCACTTTTCTTATACATACGTAGCTGATAGTTACCATAGAAATTAAAGGATATTGAGAGATACTTACAGACAGTACGGCATCGTTAATAGTGTTCGTTAGACTGAAAAATATTGTGCCCATTAGACTTAGCACTAATGTTGTAGCCAGAAGTACAAGTACTGAAACAAAAAAATAAATAATTAGGACTAATATAGCGCATAAGAAATTATTTCTATATAAAAATCTGTGTGAATTACAGATCGGATTTTGTAATTCTTTTTTGAATCATTAGAATTCAGTCCCACGTCTTTCTTATATGCATCCAGAGGGAGACTTTGTACAAAAGTCGATTGCTTGGGTACCTCTGTCCCATTCGTGTTTCAACCGTGAAGCAGTTGTATTTGCATGGCTGTGTTTCGGTTTGAAGGATGGGATATGGCGTGAATTTACTGGGTACAGAGGAATAACACCTGAGTCCTCAGGAATGGCAGCGCAATGGGGGGTATCATGGACGAAACAGTATACTCTGTTATGTCCATGGTACTGCTCATGTCTATAGGCGACGGTTACCACTTTCCATCAGGTGGGCCATCAGATTGTTTGCCATTGCCAAGTTGTATAAAGAAAAAAAAAATAACTTTTCTTGACAAAGTCTAAATAAAGTTGAATTATCAATATTCATTGTTTAAATTTTTAGTATAAGTGAGTACAGATTTTAAATCAGAATAACAGATTGAAGTCCGTCTTTTCTCAACTGACTTCAAAAACGTCATAACTCCGTCGGTTGGAAACCAATTTGGAAAATTCTTTTTTATCTGAAAGGATGTACTTACAGATTAATCCTATAGAATACTAAACAGATTTTTTTCGAAATCGGTTCACTAGTTTACTGTTTAAATCTTAATAACTGGTTTTGCCACAATGATGTCGGTTTTTTTGTGAAACACATATCAATTATTTTTATAAGGAATTAAAGAAGTACATTGTGATATATAAAATAGGTTTAGAATCGACGATCTCTGGCTGACTTTGGACTAATGACAACAGCAACGTGTTTACTTAGATATCGTTTATAAGATTGGTTTATCAAGTATTGCCTTGATGGTGTTTTTTTTCTACCGACTTTAAAAAGGAAGAAGTTCACAGTACAGTTCTAGAAGTACAGTTTTTGAAAATTCTTTTTTTATATATATACTATATATACTTATATATATATATACTTTATATTTATATATATACTATGGAAAATGTTTCATGTTTGTTTCCAAATAGACTCGACCAAACATTATACTTGACAAATGAAGTAACGCCTCATACCTTAGCCTTAGTTTTCAGGATAATATTTAAATGCTTGAATTGTATTTCGTGGTATTTTTGTACTATGTAAACATAATGCGCCTATTTGGACTTCAAATTTCAACTTTAATTTTTTGTATTGAATAATAATTGATGTAGTTGAAGTTGATGAAGTTTTGGTTCAAATGAAAAGCTTAAAAAATCTTCTTAAAATCTATTGAAATACACTGAGAACAATACAGTTACAAGCCTTTCATTTAAAAACGTAAAAACTCAAATGTAATTGGTCAAGATATAACGTTACATATATTAAAATTTAGAAAAATTTTAATAAAAAAAAATTGTAAACAATTGACTAAAACAGGATTTTAGGATATTTATTCCAATAGGTTTAGCGCAGAAGATATAACTATTACAAAAAATCTCTTGTTATATCTTATTTATTATGGCATTTATGTCTCTAATTATTGTTTTTCATAATTTAATTAAATCATTAAAGTAATCAATATAATCATATTCTATATCCTTCTTATTTTTTCAACTGATAAGCGCGTGATAATTGTTAGTAAGTTTTTTTTTTTTCACTAATTTTCTCATAATATTATTATCTGTATTTGCTTGTATGAAGCTAATATAAACATGCAAACTACAAAAAAAGTCCGTTTACTTAAATTTAATAATTTATGATAGATTTATGCAAAACTTCATGTTTTAGGACTTGTAATAGGTATGATACAAGTATATAATAGTTGTACTTTAACTGCGATTAGAAAGTTATTGTCTGACTACATTGGAAACATAGACGTAATATAATATATGTACTGAAAAAATGGTAATAGAATCATAAAGACAAGAAGACAAGAAAATTTTGCACTAGTGTGCGTGTTTGGTAAATGTACGCATGCATGTAAAAAACAACTTAAATTGTGACAAGGCTTTAATTCAAAAATGAAACTACGAAACCGATTTTGATAAAATTTCTATGGAAGTAATTTGTAAGTATATATATCCTTTCAGATAAAAAATAATTTAAAAATAATTACACTTTATAATTTAAAAATAATAAGAATTTATTTTGTTAATACTCCTGCCAAATCTGCTTCGAGCTTATATTGTTTAGCCGAATGTCCTACTTGTCTATCTCGCTCTAACATATATGTTATTGTGTTTTTTTTTCACTGTTTTATATTACCAATCATATAGATTTTTCATAATCTTAGATAGGAAACTTGGTACTGCAGTTAGGTTACCATCCCAGACATAAATATACATCTAACTTTGTTATTAGCAAATTGTTATCAGTAAATTATTTTAATAACATCATAGTGAGTAGTCAAAACATATTACAGTTGATTTTGTTAAAACTTGATATACTTGCTGAATTTTATTATATTAACATTGTAAATTGGGCCGACGTATTCATTAAAAAAGTAATCAATTCAATACAAGCTAATTTTCTGTCGCAAAGAAACGTGACAGCGATAATTTTTATGACTTTTTTTTCTTGATAGGCATGTAATCTTGTGTCACTGAGATTGTCTATGGTTATCATTTGCAGACGTAATATTTTGTTGATTTATTTAAAAATAATTAAACAGAGGGGAATTTTGCATATAAATCGGCTTTTGTAGAAGTACAAAGAAGAATGGAAGAATTTCCCCAAGAAAAATATAATTAAATAAAGTCTTCAAACTGAACTGAATAAAAGAAGCTAAAACAACTGTTTTAGCTTCTTTTATTTATGCAATTTAGAATAGCAAACAAAATCAGGTGGGCCGTCCCAACTAATGGGACAGTAGTCACCGTCGTAGATATGAACTATTTGTGGTGTTATGCCATTAGTCATAAGCTGTTATTTAAATTACATATTAATTTATTTCTGGCTCGTTGTCTTCTCTCTATTTTTTTTAAATAATTTTTGAATCGTTTAAAAATTATAGCCACTTTTTTCGTGCTTAGAAAAGCAAGTAAAGCCATCCTTCGTTAAGCCATGTCGGAGGCCTTCGTGTATAACAAAAACGCTCTAGACGACAGATGGCGCCGCTCTCACACGAGTAACAATAGTATCTATATTTTTAAAAATAGAAATGGATATTTATTTCGCTATCAATAAATAGTTCTTCTATTAACATATAGTAAATACACAAAGTGACTCAGTTGGTTTTCTGATAGTAGGTAAATTTATTAAATTTTTTTATTCGATGACAACAATATTAGTAAAAAATGTAATCAATACGAACAAATTACATATTTTCTGCAACTAAAAACGTAGATAAGTTTTAGATATTTTTTTTGTGACTTTTTTGCAGCACTCCGGAAAGTTTTTTAATATTTAAATACTAAACTGCAAATAAGGTTTTATTTTACCTAAATATTTACGCACAAAGGAACTTTCCGGGATATACAGTATTATGCTATGTATTTTCTTTTAATCATCTATGATATACAAGAAGTGTGCCAAAATGTAATTGTTTATCATATCTTCACTCGTGTCAACATAAATACCTTGTAGATATACCTACACGTGGGGGAAAAATCTATATAATAGCAACTCGCCCTGGTTTCGCACTAATAGATAAGTAGATATCTATTTTTCTTTAAATAATATTCAGCCATTGGTTGAACTTACTTTTATTTCAGCCAATTGAATAACTCGCTGATATTTTCTGACGATGGCTTTCTGTAGACGATAGAGTTTTTCAAATTGTTTAATTATAATTAATAAAGTATTGGCCGGGTGTTCTCGGTATAGAATAGGCCATACCATTTTCTCCCGTGGGTATTGCAAAAGGTGACTAAGGAAACTTGATAAAGGGAGGATGGAAGGGAAATGGTTGAGGAATAGGCAGCAGCATCCCACTTAAAACTTTACAAGTGAAACTGCGGTTACCATTTCACCTGCCAAGCGTGGAAACTACTGGCAAATTCTCCAATAGGCCTACCAGTATGTACAGCAATGGACAGTTAATTGCTGATAAAAATATAGTATAAATAAATAAATAAATAAATTAATTAATAAATGAATAAATGAATAAATAAATAAATAAAGAACCTAACCTTTATTCAACTGACTTTATATTTCTAAGAACCTTATCAATGTCCATGTAGCAAATTTGTTTTCTATAACAAAATAAAGAGCTATGATAACTTATTAGGCAACTAACCTCTAAAATACTTAAATATATAAGTAAACAGTATACATATGTTGATATCTATACAAGCATGACTATGAAAACGGTTATTTTGATAAAATTAAAAATTCAGCTTTTTAATAATATATTTTATGTTGCTATAATAATTCAAGATTGCATTTTATACAAACAAGTCAATTTTAATTTTTGATAAAATTTCTATGGAACTAATCTCTATATAAAGAAAATACTATAAAGAAAAATAAATCCAAATTGGTTTATAACTGATGGAGTTCTAAGGTAACAAACAAAAAAATACAACCGAATTACGAGTAATAACCTCCTTCTTTTTAAAGTCGGTTAAAAAGGAAACGATTTTCAATTTTTTTTTGCAAATAAACACGTATTATACACATAAATAAAACGTTTATAAAAATGGCAATGAAATAAAAATGTAAGTCAAAACTAACTAACATAAAAATTATAAAAGTGTTTTCGGAAGCACGAAGTAAAATTCATAATGCATGAATTTACTGGGTACAGAGGAATAACACCTGAGTCCTCAGGAATGGCAACGCATGGGGGTATCATGGGCAAAACAGTATACTCTGTTATGTCCATGGTACTGCTCATGTCTATAGGCGACTGTTACCACATTCCATCAGGTGGGCCGTCAGCTTGTTTGCCATTCTAAGTTGTATAAAAAAAAACAATACTCGTATATTTTGAAATTATTGTGGTAGAAGGCACAG